ATATATGATCAGATCTGATCATATATGGACTCATACATATAGGAAGGTAGTTAACACCTTAGCCATCAGAAGGAAGAGCAGTAGCTAGATCTTCCCTTCACGAAGTAATGCCTGACGGCGGTTTCCATGAGGGATTAGAGGAAAGAGGAAAGGGGTTTAGGGTTTAGTGGGTAGGGGCGTTAGCGTCGAGTTTTAGTATGACGCTGCGTCGAGTCGCCACATATCCAGGCCAACATCTATGCCTAGAATCCGTAAAAAGGATTTACACACACACAAACACACACACATACAGACGTCTGGACATCATCGTAAAAATAGTCAGGGAAGCTTCCTGTGACCTTCATACGTCGAGATCTGATAAAAACTCGATTTTCGTAGAACGGAGTGAAAACAATAACTTCCCGATTTCTGAAAATGTGAGATTTTTAGCGGGAAGTTAAAAATAAAAATTATTTACCATGTAATTTTCGAGATTGATTAAAATCAATTTCATTTTTAGAGGATTATTTTCAGGCGAGGGGGTACGAAAAACAGCCGCTAGTCACTGAAACCGTAGTGTGTGTATATGTATAGAGAATATAGTAGTCGACGAGTACAGTAACGTTAAAAAATCTTAACCTACAACCGTAGCTCTGTCGATACGTATAACATGGATAGCGAGTCAAAATTTTTTATCTGGATTGTCGCGGAGGTACTACCTTATTAATGTGCTCGCGAAGTACGTTTTTTTTTCTTCTATGATGCTCTATAAGTTTTTTTTATCTAATTTAGAATGAATGGAAAATGTGTATTTGGTGCAATTCTTAACTTTAAATTGGATTTAAAGTTTTATATCACATACTTGTGAATTTCTTATTCTCCGAATGATATTACAACTACTTAACAAATAAATTTTAATTTGTGAAAAGATTTTTTTTGCTCGAAGGGCAGAAAGCGTCAAATTTCGGCCCACTGCGCTAAACGAAATTACCACTTTCTGCCTTCGTCGAGCAAAAAAAAATAGCATACACTCCTCGGGAAGTAAATAAGAAAGCCTCAGATCATTACATGTGATCTGTAACATTTCTTACTTTACTTCCCTCGGTGTGTAATATACTAATGTACAATAATTCCTATTTACAGTAATGTCATCGAAAAGCAAAGTTGAGTCTTACGGGATTTTGCCATGGAATGTCTTACAATTAGCTGAACATTTGCGACAGGAACGTTTATTTGTTAGTGCGGAACAACAAAATCTTCAAAATCTCAATGAAAAGGTATTATTTGAAGATATTTTTTAAATGAATTTTTGTAGTCATATTTAAGAAATTAAACGATCAATTTTCAATTTAAGGTTCTTTACGTGTTATCGGATTTAGCTCAATTGACATGGGTCACTGATCAACAAAGAGTGAATTTAAATAAATTAATAGTGTCGAGACCTGACTGTACACCTGCTTTATGTTGTCAACGTGCAAATGCTTTAGAAAATTCACAATTCCTTGATGTATATAAGTGTATAAGATATCAATCATGTTTAGTTTACGGAGAATTCTTAGGAGCACTAAGGAAAAGTCCAGATATCTTAGCTGCTTGTTTAGTAGAAGGCGAAAAATTTTTACCCGATATGGTTCAAAATATTATTCAGTCATTATCAGCTGGACTTTATGGGAGTTGTTTATTACCCGAAGATAAAATATTCGTTTTAAAATTATTGAAACAGCTTATGCTTCTTCAAATCGTTCCATCCGATAATCCTCGGAGGCTACTTAGACATGGGACTTGTGCGTTTTCTAGATTTTATTCAGTTTTTCACGAAAGTCTATTTTCTGCAAAGTTATTCCTCACTGCAGCTCTTCACGGACCGATAACTCAGTTACTAATGGAGGATGAAATGTTTCTTGACATTGATCCAGATAAAGTACCGATACGATTTCCACCATCCGAAAGATTGAAAAAATTTGGAGTTGAAGGGTCTTTAGAGTATCAGTCTAAATTGTTACGATACAGACTTTGGACAATTAATTCATTGGTTCGAATCACTCAAAGATTTATTACAAGTATACGAGAAAATATGTATTGTTTTCCAACAAGTATACTTTGGTTAGTAAAACAACTAGCAGGATTTTTGAATAAAAGTGGTAACATTGAATCTAAGGAAGTTCATGCAATGTGTACCGATCTTGTGTTCACCTATTTTATTTGTCCAGCAATAGTCAATCCAGAACCGTATGGTATTACTGATGCTCCTATTAATTATGTAGCTAGATTTAATTTGATGCAAGTGGGTCAGATATTACAGATGTTATCTCTGATGAAGTATCAAACAATCGATAATAAAGTTATGGATCTATATCGTCGCTTTGAAAAAGATTCAGTTTCTATAATTATTGATCTGATGTTAGAAGGAATAATAGAGGAACTAGATGATGAACCAAAAATTTTAGATCATAATAAGTTGCAAGGACTTAATCGATCTGCTGCACTTTTCACAGAGAATGAACTAAATTCATTGATTATATTTTTACAAACAGTATGTCATAACAAAACAGAAGTCACTTCTCCTGATAATAGTACTTTAGATCGTAAAAAATTGAGTCAAATGCTAGCTTTAGTGCCAAGTGGCTCAGTGATGTCGAATAAAATTGTAAACATTACCCCTTTAGATTCTGTTAAAAGAAGTAGTGGTTTATTAGGGAAAGTTGGTATAAATCGAGGATTAAGACCTTCTACATCCTTTATTCCTGGCATTTCAAACGATGGTGTAGAAGAAATAAATAACATTTTTAGTTTTGAAGAAGAATGCATAAATAAAGTTTCACAGGAAGTTCTGGTTATACCGTTTGGGTCAACACTACATGAATCGGTAGGTTTTTTAAGTGAACATAAAATTCTGTGCATGGAAAATCAAAATAACATGAATCCTGGTTCAGTAACTTTAAATCTATCTACTGATTCTTCAAATAATAATCGCCGTATTTCTACTGGTCCAGAGCGTATTGAAATACATGAAAAAAGAACACGTTTTTCATTGTCACACGACGAAGTTTTTTTTGAAGGATCTATTGGCAATACTTCAGATAATCTTGAAGTAGTTTCGGAAGCTGCTTCGAATCATAGTGTTGCTTCATCGTTAGAACTGGAAACTGAAGATCAAAACGACAATTTATCCGATATGGTATCTGCAAATGTATCTGGAAGAGGATCTCCTAACATTTCTGGTCGAGATACTCCTTCATCACAGATTACCGAGGGTGAGGATGTACGAGCAAGTGGTGAAGTTCGACCTTTAGACTTACCTCCTCCTACAATTTCTACAAAACAAAGCCGATCTGAAATTGATGACAAATTCTGTAAATTTGAAATAAAAAAACTTATTGAAGGTGATGAGACAGTTTCATTAGTATCCGATACGTGGTCTACAGACGTTTTAGCCTCTGATAGTGAAATAGTTGAACACCAAGACCGTTTTCTGTTTCCATCGCTAGCTGAGCAAACGTCGGGACTGCCTGTTGAATCTTTACAAGGCGTTGCGGATGTTAGTGAAACTGCTTCAGAAGCTTGGAGTATGGATGTTCTTGCAAGTGACTCTGAACGTCTAACTGAGGTGGATACTGATGACACATCTAGTGTAGCGAGATCTGATGATACTGCAAGATCAGAAATAGAAAGTCGTGGAGAACCAGAAGTCAGTGAGGAATCATCAGATGTAGTACACATCTCTACTGGTCCTTTGCTAGATAGTTTAAATACATTGTTTAAGCCAAATTCTATAGAAATTAATCAAGAAGAAGCCACAATTTCTTTATCTCCTATTTCATCATCAGCTGGCAGGAGTACTAGTTTCAGAAGTAGTAAACCTGATAATTTTAGAAGCATTATTGACTATGTTGATAATAATGCTAATAATGTTAACAGAGTAGGGTATTTAAAATCGATAAAAAATGGTAAATTAATAAATATGATGGATAAATTGAATATTGATGATGAAAAAGACAATAGTGTAAATCTCAATTCGAATAATCACATTGGAGCGGTTGCTGTTGCTCCTGAATTATTATTGGCAAGCCACATATCATCACCTCATTTATCGAATGAAAAATCATTAAATGGAGATACAAAATCTGCAGAATCAGAAGATTTCAGAACAAGTGTAAATGATGTTATTGTTAGGCTCAGTACAACTAGTTTAACTTCAAGCAGTAGTTCTGGTTCTGAATCTAAAGTGAAAACCTTAAATCATAACTTAGAGTCAATTCCATTATCATCAACGAATGATAGTAATGATAATAATGAAAATAGTAATAATAGTATTGGCAAGTCAAATTTTTCAACTGGCGCGATTCCCAAAAGTATAAGTTTTGATATAACTGCTGTACGGGGAGATAGAGAATATTTAGATGATCAGAAACACAAACGTGGTTTTTTTAGCAAATTTAAAATGTCTTTGAAAAATCGAAGAGGCAAGTCATTGCGAGAAACAGATGAACTGGGAAGATGTTATGATCGTGACATCGGAGCTGACGGTATAGATGTTGGACGATATAAATTACGCAAAAGAATGTCGGAAGATATTACGACTAATGCCAATAATAACGTTGGTAAGATTTTTTACCATTAGAAGATAATTTAAAATTAATAGATGTTAATTTTTTCAGATAGTACTGACGATATCTTAGCTAAGTACAGAAGAAAACCAAATATAGTATATGATACAGTTTCAGCGGACAACAGTCAGATTCGACCGAAAGAAACTGAAGATGAAAGACTTTTAATTGATTCAAACAATGTAGAATCATCTTTTGCTTTTTCTGATGCAAAAAGAAAATTACGAATGGTACTTAGCACAGCAGATCTGCAACACATTCCATGGAACATTTCTTCTGAGGTTGGTATTTATAATAACGGGAGAGATAAAAACGTACAATTTTTAGACATGATTAAGCATATAGTGGAGTTAAAGCTCGTGTATTTATTACGAGAAAAAATGGAAATATGTTTAGATCAAATTTATTATATTTATGTAGATGTCTTTAGATAACTGTCATTTTGTTAGATCTGAAAATATATGAAAACAAAATAAATTTATAAAAACGTCGATTAAAAAATGAGAATGTCTTATTTTCTTTTTGAATTCAAAATTCGAAATTACTTATTATTAATTACATTTGTGGGTCATGGAGTTGTACTATCGATTAAGAAATTCAATTATCCCGTGTAGTTGATAGCATTAAAGTTTTGATCATGTATGCTAAAATTCACGATAAATTCATTAATTTAAACTGATCGACAAAATTGTGTGGCTATTAAATTTTGATTGAATTTATTGAAATATTTGATATTAAATTTTAAATTTTGATATTTATTTGAACAGAAATGTAAATTTTTAGATCTAAAATTTAACTAAGAAGTTTTATTTTTTAAGATCCTAATATACACCCGGGAAAAAATCAGCATGTATGATCGTGCTTGACTAAGCATGAGTCAGGCATGATCATGCATGAACTGTGTATGATGCTGCACGATTGTGCTCGGTAATGCTCAATCGTTTAAGCATCCGTTATTTCGCATGGCCTGTCATGACTATGCATGATTATACACAACCGTACTCGACCGTACATGACTATAGATCGTGAGAACTAAAAGGTCATGCATGAATCTGCATGACGAAGTATGGCCTTGTATGGCCATATAAGAAACTTGCTTGATCATGCATGATTCATGCTTGGTAGAGCTTGACCATGCACAAAGTCATTTAACACAGTGGGGACTATCATGTACGACTGTACATGCTCTTGAGCAGTTATACATAATTCATGCTTGACCAAGCTTGATCAGGTATGATCATGTAATAGAACAGAATAAGTGATCATGAACGCACTTGACTGTGTGTGGCTTTGCACGATCATTCATGAACGGGCTTGGTCAAGCGTGGTTATGCACGATAACTCTCTCCACGACTAAAATCAATAACGGATTCGGTACCATTAGGAATTTGATTTGATTAATGTTATGAAAGTTTGAAAATTTCGATAAAAATATTGTTATAATGTTATATACATTGACTAAAATTTCAAGTGTCTCAGAACAGTAAGAATCCAGTCAAAAACATCAGTTCTACCCTATGTCATATAAAATATTATTATTTTAAGTTTTACTTGTATACCGTTCTCTGGTTTTTACAAGGCTGATATCCCCACTCTATATATCCCTCTTCATTGCGGCTGTGGACCGACTTGTGCTTTCTGTACCGTATTCACCCTGAACCTCACTTTCTCAGGCTGTTGGAACAGAATCATGGGGAAACCACAGAGAAAACCCATGATAGTACAGTCGGAGCTGGGCTAAGTCTACAGTGATTGATAAGAAAATCTTCTTTATCGATCACTGGAGCATTAGGCCCCTCTCCTAGTGTGCAGAGATCCCTCGCGCTAGCCAACGTTGACTAGAGTGGTCACCCATTCAAGTTGTTGCTTAAATGTGTGATCGCCCAAGTCAGACGTGTACCGCTCGGCTATCTCTGCCACTTCCAGAGGCTGGCAACGTAACGTAACGCACATATTTTTAATTATAATCACTGAAAAATATTGGTGCGTGCTGGGATCGAACTCGGATCCCACTCTTTCGAAAAGCGAGCACCGAGCCGACCAGGCCATTGCCAGCCTTATATCATATAAAATATTTTACATGCAATGAAAAACTTATCGCTTTCAGTTGATCCATTGCTGATGAAAGAACAATTTTTTCCTTCAAGTACAAGAATTAAAAAGTTTATTTCTATTTGATTTTATGCATTTTAAAATTTCATTGCGTTCTTTTAATACCTGAGTTATATCCTTCATTCTCTCATTCCATACGACAAGGTCTTCTTTCTGTAAATTTTTGCTGTCTTCCAATTTTTCATTTAGCGCTAGCATAACATCTAATTTATTAGAAGGGTCATTCCATGTCAAATCGACCAATAGTTGGAGTCGACCCCTTTCGATTTCGACGAATTTTGGTCAGAAGTTTCCTTTTATCATATAACCAAGTTCTGCCAAAGGAAAAAAAATAAAAAAATTTTTTTCAAAAGATATGCAAACTCAAAATTTCGCGATTTTTACAGTTTTTCATTTTTGTTTTTGTAATATCTCGAACACTAGTATAGATACAGGAATGATCTTTCGTTTGTTTGAAAGGGGACACTTGGAGCTATTGAAAAAAAAATATTTTTGGAAAAAATTTTGAAAAATGCCAAATTTGTCAAATTTTTGAAAATTGAAAATCGTAAAAAATGACGGTCGACAATAAATTTTTTGCTCAAATATTTTTAAATTTTTTTTTATTCATATCTTAATTGAGTTTGGTAAATCGCGTAATTTTGATATTCTAAACAGTTAAAATGTCATTTAGTAGCATAACGATGAGAAAAAAATAATTTTAAGAAAAATTTTTTTTTTCAACAAATTTCAAAAATTCATATTTTTGAAAAAACAAAAAACACAGTTCCAAAAATTTCAGAATCTCTTAAGATTGGTACAAGGTAGTATACAAAAATATTTGAGCAAAAAATTTATTGTCGACCGTCATTTTTGACGATTTTAAAAAATTCAAAATTTGATAAATTTGGCATTATTCAAAATTTTTTCTAAAAATATTTTTTTTTCAATAGCTCCAAGTATCCCCTTTCAAACAAACGAAAAATCATTTCTGTATCTATACTAGCGTTCGAGATATTACAAAAACAAAATTGAAAAACTGGAAAAAAAGCGAAATTTTAAGTTTGCATATCTTTTGAAAAAAATTTTTTTATTTTTTTTCCTTTGGCAGAACTTGGTTATATGATAAAAGGAAACTTCTGACCAAAATTCGTCCAAATCGAAAGGGGTCGATTCCAACTATTGGTCGATTTGACATGGAATGACCCAGAATCTAGATTTGATAGTTTTTTTCTATAATAGATGTTTTTTCCTCGTGCAGACTTGTAACATTTGTTTCGTGCTTCTTCGATACTATCTTCACTGACACTCGCTATATTTGAACTTGCAGTTTTTGAATTTCCACATTCTAATAGATTATTATTGTTGCTATAAATTAAAAATAATACTACTCATACACGATCGTGCTAGGTAATAGCCAATGGTGTACTTTTAAGCATGCGTTATTTCGCACGACCAGGCATGAAAGGGTTTCTTTTGTTTTTAAAAGGGTTTCTTTTGTTTTTAGATGAAGTTCATATCCATCGAGATAATCTCATTGGTAAACTTATTAACTTTATTAAATCATTTATTTTAGCACTAAAAACTTTATTTTTCTTGAAATATGAACAATTTAGTAAATTTTATATACAATTATTCATTTATAGAGATTAAGTTTGACTACCAAGTTATATTCGATATTATCTATCCATTTTCAAAAAAAAAAAGTTCAAATTTACATCTTATAGACTGATTTATTAATTCCAAGGTTTAAGTAAGCTTTCTTTTGTATTTTTTATGTTTCGAGCTCTGTAATCATCCAAAATTTGAATCACAAACTGCTTCTGATTTTTATCTTTCGTAAACAAATCATTGTATTCTTGCATTAATTTCACACCGCGTTCAGCAACATCGTTCACAACAGATAAATTATTTACAGCGTTTAAACAGATCTGATAATTTATATTTTCATGCCAGTTTTCACAATCATCTTTCAGCCAACTAGTATCCAAACCCAGTTTAAGAAAGAAATTAATTGATGAATGATCAACGAACTGTTCTAATCCATGGTCGAATAATTTTGGTTCATCTTTTTTAGCTATTACTATTTTTTTTGAATTACAGATTTGACTGTCATCTGAAGAATCATAATCGTTACTATCGAATAATTTTTGAACCATTTTTTTTTTCGTTTCTTCATCAACACTGTCATCGAATAGTGCCATTAAACAGTTTTCTGGAGTGAGATACCATGAATGATTCAAAATTTTTTTCAAAGCAGCAGATGATAGTTTTTTGTCAATTGATTGGAAGTTGTAAATCGATTGTATCAATTGAAAATCACAATTGGAAGCTTTGATTGATGATGATGCCATAAACCATATCTTCACATATATTTTTACAATAAAAACACAAATCATACCAAGACTTTTTTGTTCATTCGAAGTCAGCTTAAACGTAGATCGCAAAAGAAAAATTTTGAGAGAGTAAATTGCCTTGGCCATCCACCTTGCTTGATGCATAGCTCCAGGAACACGAAACACAACATTATCGGGTACTACTCCAATGAATATCAATGTCAACTTTAATAATTCTAAATAATCGTCTCTGTCGTGATTCAAAGTCAATTGTGTTTCTGCAAATTCAAGGATGTCGAGAATATCATTTTCGAGAATATTATAGATTATCGGATCGTTTATTCCAGATTCAAATTTTGTAAGGTCCAATGCATCCCATTCTTTCCTGAACCTTACAAATAAAGGCACATTCAGTCCAGAAGAATTGAAAATTTGACAATCGAATACAGCTTTCAGTACAACTTCCAATATATGGTGTCGACATGGTAATAGAAGAAGATCTCGTTCCAATGCTTGTTCAATCAACACTGCTGCGCCGTTAAATTGTCCTGTATTTGAAGCTGTAGTATCACAGCACAAACCAACTACGAATTCACTAATCCCGTATTCTTGCAGAGCATCAAAAACTGCATCAGTCATTGCGCGACCGGTGGAATTTTCGAGTTTGGGTATCGATAGTAATTTAGTTTCTTTTTCTGCAGAAATTATAATGGGAAGACGCTCTATGAAGTTTCTACCAGTGATGTCAGGTAAATTTTTGCCGTCCCAGTGAATAATTAATCTACTGAGTTCTGTATTTTTCAATCTATGTTGAATTTCCGCGGCTCTGTCCTCTCGAAACTTTTCACGCTTCTGTTTTATTGAAGTTCTATTAATAATGTATTGGCTAGCATCCATCCCAATAGCTTCAAGAAAACTAATCAATAAACCCGTCGCATTCCGATCGCTGATTTTACATTTATCCAACATTGTGCATAGTTTTGGAGTAAAAATATCGATTGTTCCTCGAGATTTTTTCGATGGTGGTGATTCATTTAATTCCAATACAAAACTGAGATCTCTCTGAAGGCTTCGTTGACTGAAAGAGTTTGTTTCTGATGACTCAATTTGTGAACTAGGTTCAGAACTTTCTAAAAAAAAAAAAATGAAAAAAAAAGTTACAATTTCAAAATATAAACCATAGAATACAGAAATTGTTTCAATATTTACCGGAAATTGGATCTTCAACCTCATCTATGTATCCAACACGACAAGGCTTACGTTGATTTAATAAAAAATTTTTAATCTTAACATCGATCATATTTAAAGCATCATTATACGCAATGTCGAATAAGTTTTTAAGAGATGATGAAAAAGCCTCCTCTTTATTTGTTTGGGTGATTCCTTTTACTGAAGAACTTTTTTGCAAACTGCGCCAATCATTATATAATTGTTCAATTTTTGCAATACATCGACATTTTTGCTAAGTTGGTATTTTCACTTTTTGCCAAAAAGTTATCAATTCATCATAAACTAAATATTTACTATCACGTAAATTATGGTTTAATACTCGAAGATTATGAAATAAAAATTGTAGAACTTGTAAATTGGATGGTAATTGATTTCTATCGATCTGAGAATGAGTATCCCCAATTAAAAATATATTTTCTTTTTCGTCTTGCATTGCCATGTTAATTTTAAAGAAAGATGAATAATACTTATTTCACAGAAAAAAATATTAAAATTTGATAATTAATTTTTGTAACAGAATATCAGTGGATTCTGATTAAATTCTTGGGCTTTACTTTCATGTATAACCTCACAAATGCAAATGAATCTTACACTGTAGCAATTACATTTGACACTGTTTTTCTTGCGATCGATACAATCAAATATTTCAATGTCTCAATACAAATAAAAAATTAAACTTGGAGCACAGAAATGAGTGACATGTGAACACATTAAAGTCAATATGCAAAGAGTACAGTAATAACAAATTAAACGAATTAAACCAAACATGCTTGGGCAATGTCTACCATTCAATAGATTTTTAGAAGTGTCGATAATTTAGGAAAATATCGATATCGATTATAAATTCATTGTAGAGAACTTACCGACAGAGATTTTATTTGAAAATCATTCAATTAAAAATCATTTACTTATGTCAAAATATCAAAAATATATATGTAATTCAAGATATTTTAATAAAAGTGTTCATATTTCAAGAAAAATAAAGTTTTTAGTGCTAAAATAAATGATTTAATAAAGTTAATAAGTTTACCAATGAGATTATCTCGATGGATATGAACTTCATCTAAAAACAAAAGAAACCCTTTTGTAGAGAATTTGATTTCCTATAAGCATATTTTCATGATTTTTTATCAAAATTTAAATAATGTAACAAATATTCCAAAAAACTATAATTTTATCGAAAAATGAACTTAAATTGGCCGCCGGCACGTGTTATTTTTGTTAAAAATCAAAAAGCAAAATTTTTCCCGTAGTTTTTCGTCAAAAGGAAGGATTTTTTGGGCGTCTGAAAGAATTTAATTTTTAACGACCACCCTAATGCACAATAACTTTTTCCGTGACCAAAATCAATACCGGATACGATACCATTATGAATTTGATTCGTAATATTCTGAAAGTTTGAAAATTCGATGAGACAATTATTATTATGTTATAATTTTTTATACACTGACTCAAATTTCAAGTCTCTTTTCTCTCAAGTATGGGTACTAAAAAAGTTATTTTTATTTGATTTTATGTATTACGAAAAAGTTTAATTTGTTTTACAACTAATAGTTATAAAAAAAAAAATTTAGGATGACGGTTGACCCTAAAGGCCATCCCTGCAACTTCCCGCTCATTTTGTACTTAAGCGCTCAAAACTACATATTACGTTTTTGAGCTCTTCGAGCTCAAAATATTATTTTTGTGTCAATTTGAGCTCTTCGAGCTCAAAACTCTAATAGCAGTTTAACAGAACACAATTTTTTGAATTTTCAAACGGCAATAACTTTTGAATGAATGAACCAATTTTCACGTGGTTGGCGGCAATCGACGCAGTTTTTGAAGCTCCATGAAAAATTTTCGAGTTTAAATCGATCGAGCCATGAATTTCGAAGTAATTCCGAAAAAACACTTTTTTCGGTTCTCTTTCGACAACGATAACTCACGAACGAATCAACTAATTTTGACCAGGCTTGCGGTGATCGACGTGGTTTTTTGATCTTAAGAGCTGATTAGATCTTGGAATCGATCGGTGAAACCATTTAAAAGTAATTCCAAAAAAACCTCATTTCAAAAAATTTTTTTTGTCACCATCTTGTATACTATTTTGAGAATTAATACTACAGATTGACTCATCATCGCCTACTTGATGTACGATGTTTGCAGGGGGATCAATTGGTATTAAGAACTCAGGATCTTCATTTATAGATCCGGATGTGGTTTCCGAAGGTGGATGTGGTCGCTTACTTCTTAAATCGAAATTCTCTTTCCTCTCGATTGGGATTGGGAGTTTGGTCATGCCCCGGGAGCTTACTGGAGGAGTTTGTTCCATTGAACTATTTGAATTTGTTTCATTGTTTAAATCAGTTTTGCTTTCTTCGGGATTTTGTTCTGATATCTGAGTATCATCAGATATCCGATCATTACAATCAGGGCAATTTTTAGCAATGTGGCCTTCTTTTTTGCAGAGGAAGCAAGTCAGAGTGTCAGAGGAGAGGTAAATCCAGTAAGTGGTGTCATCAAAAGTTATCTGAACTGAGTTTGGTAACTTTTCACATCGTCAGGATGGATGAACACTTGCCTTCGAAAACTCAGTATGTGGCTGACTTCAGGGTCTGGAATGCCTAGTCTCAGGAATGTGATTGGCGACATTGGTGTCACGTTTAATTCTAGTAATTTTTCTTCCAAGATATAATGTGGTATAACAGGACATACATTTGACAGTATGATTCTCTTGTGTCTAGAGATTAATGGTCGAATAGGTAGTGTCTTACCGTTGATTTTAACTTCTTTGAATTTATCTATGAGGTTATCAGCTGTTTGTTTGTTAGCTAGGTACACACACACACGGTTGTTAGATATTCTTGACATGAAGCGGATTAACGTTGGGTCAATAAGACGAGCCAAAGCTCGTGCGTATTCGGATATTTGGGATTCTTCAATAACATCAATGATAATTGCTTGATCTTTTTTGGGAAAATTGTCATTTACTGCAACACGAGCGTAGTTAAGCGAACTTTGATTCTTTGTAGAACCCATTTTTGGGCTGGGTGAGTCTCTGCGTACAGAGCCTTTAGAAGAAACAAAAACTTAATGGCACTTCAGCACAGTTTAACAACTTTGAAAAATCAGAAATAGAACAAACAAAGTAACTATAATAATTAGGCACTCGTAGTGAGGAGTGGGGACCGCACCGAAAACACGTCCGTACTCGTCGACTGTCGAGAGACAACTGAAATGTTTGTTTTTTGTTATACCACTCTGAAAATTTTTTAGCAGATTTTGAAAACTTTAAAATCTGAGAAAAAAAATAAAAACAAAAATTAAAAGTGACAATCATCGATAACATTTGATTAATTTCCAATAAAGTTAGATAAAAAATTAAAAGAAACATTGAATTATTTTTTCGTATTTTATTATTTTCGTATCTAAAAGTTCTATAAACAATAAAAAATTCTATTGTTTTCAATAGAGTAGAGAAAGATACCAAAATTTCAGAAACATCGAAAAGGGTCGGGTTCAAAAGTGGTCGATTTGGCATGGAATGCCCCATATATAATATAAATATATAATACAAATAAATATATTTTTTTTCTTCTATACATAGCCTCTACCGAAAAATCGGTAGCCTCTACCGAAAAAAAAAATCGGTAACCTCTACCGATTACCAATCGGTAGCCTCCACCGATTTTTTTTTTCAGTGAGGGTCCCGGTTTCGAGTCTTGTCAAGGACCGAATTTTAAATGGTATTTTCCAGTGAAAGAAACAATCGAATATTACTAAATAGTGAAAGACTAAAACCATGATGAACAGAAATAATTATTTTGTTCAACTCAAATTTTTTTTATCGAGATATAGATGCTTGGTCATGCTTGGTTATGCATGATTGCTTATGAATATTTGCCGGGCATGTAAAAGCATCATCATGCTTCATCACATATTAAACATTAAACATAATGATTAAAAATGATTTTAAATGTAAAACGCCTGTATGAGTTATGATTTACATGATTTAACAGGATTGAAAATTATTATCCCTGAACTTTGGTTAGCGATTCTGTACATAAATATGGGGTCTTCAAATTTGATAATACGGATATGAACACCATCGAAAATCTGATGAATTTCAATTTTGATATTAAAGAATTAATAGTTATTTATTCATAATTGAAATAAAAAATATAATAATTAAGTTTTTTTTTCGATTTTAAGTTCATCACTTTTTGAGAAGTAAAAAAATAATACGAATAATTTGAAAAAAATTTTTTTTATTTTCTTAGCGATAAATTGAAAACTCGATTTTCTTTAACTTTGAACTATATTCAATTTATAGTCCTGATTCAGAAAGATGGTTTGAAATGATTACCTTCATGTTAATTATATATCTATATAGTATTCAAATCCGATGCATTTAAATCATTTCAAATTAGATTTCTTAATCAGAGAGAGTATCTATTAGATTAAATTTTTATTAGATTGTGTTTCCATTATCAATCTTTTTTGTTTTTTTATAGAAAAATGCGTGTGTTCAAAAAGAAAATGAATTAATAGCTTTTTTACAACTTCAGCTTGCTGAAGCAATTAATTTACAAGATCGTTCTTTGATTGCTCATCTTCATGAAACTTTACGCTGTGTAAGATTATTTAATGATGATGGCTGTAGGAAACTTTTCCAATCACTTAAAGATGACTATGAAAAAAGATCACCTTATGTTGCTTATTTAATCCGATGTAGACAGGGTTTGTTATCAACTTTAGCTCATTTAGAACGGTATGTAAACACTAAATTTTCAAATATCAATTAAGTAAGAAATTGTTTGAAACATTTTTAATTATCAGACTAGGAGAACGAGTAAAATGCGATCGAGATGCTGTAAATAGCCATTTAGTTGCTGTATGTGTAAGGGTATTTTTGGAAAAACGTGAATTTCAAATTCTTCGTTTTTGTGATGAATTTCAAAAATTGAAGGTGGCAGATGAAAAACAAGATCTTCTTGAAAACTTTTTAAGTAAAATTTATATTGAAATGGATAATGATTCGATTTGGCAAGTTGCAAGCGAGAGTCAACTGGATTTAGCGAGAATGGTAGTAGAAAGGACAGTGATGGCTCGAGTATATCATAATGCACTGTATCCCAATGGTGATGGAGATATATACAGAGATCAATTATTACATGACCATATAAAAAAACTATCAAAAATTATAACGCCGAACCATAAAGATTTACGAGTCCCCAAAATATATCATTATGAATGTCCTTGGCCATGGGCTCAAGCTGAATTGGCTATGATATCTGCATATAAAACTCCACGGGATAAATTACAATGTGTATTTCGTTGTACAACAACAATCATGAATTTATTATCAATGGCTTCTGAAAGAGGAATTCCCGCAGCTGATGATTTGATTCCTGTATTAGTATATGTAATTATTAAGGTGGGTAAATGTTGTAATTAATAAATTAAACGTTACTAAATCTTTGATTTATTATTTTTAGGCAAACCCACCTTCATTGCTATCAACTGTACAGTATGTAGACAGTTTTTATGGTCACAATCGTCTAGAAGGTGAAGATCAATATTGGTGGACTCAGTTTTGTTCAGCAATTGAATTCATAAAAACAATGGATTGAGAATTTGATTTAGTTGTGAAATGAATACAAAAATTTTTAAATAGTTATTTTATTTAAATATTCAACAATTATCTGAAATAAAAATTTACTATGGTACTTATATAAATACTATTAACTGTTATATATAAGTTAATTCATTTCTAAAATAAATATTTTTTTGACTATTTTTAATATATAAGCGTATAAGGTCAAATAATTAACTGATGTTTACATAGTGTGATACGTTCATACTTGTTGAAAAGTGGCTGCTGATCTTGACTGTCTGTAAGTTAAAACTAATGAGTAACAAACTATCTAATATAATTTTAAATTATTAGAAAATATTTAAGATGAGAATTATAATTTTGTAGCCAGCTTAACGTGTACTAGCTTAAAAAAATAGGTTTAATACACCTAGGATGTAACAAAACTAAATCCTCGAAACATTGAAGTTGGTGCTGCTCCACGTAGGTGGTTTCAATTTCTCGAACCATTCCAGCGGTTTCATCAGTACAATATTTCATAATAAATAATCTTCGAGCTCAAAAGTCTGATAGAAGTTTCATAGAACAATATTTTTTGAACTTTCAAACCGCAATAACTTTTAACCTTTCACGCGGTTGGGGGCATTCGACGCAGTTTTTTAAACCTCATAAAGAATCGTTTGAATTGATAAAACTAGGAAATTTGGAGTAATTCCGAAAAAACACTTTTTTCGGTTTTTTTTCGTTCACGATATCTCTTGAACAAATTGACCGATTTTGACGGGCTTGACGACTTATAAAATTTGAGAAAAATTTGAGGGCATAAAGAAAACTGATTTTTTGGGCCTAAATCTATTATCCTTCAGTTTGACATACTTTTCTTAATATGTAAAGGTCATGCAAGGTCAAAATAGGTTCAATAACTATTAAGAGGGACGTAGGATGTCTTAGGAGGTACCCCGTAATTGTCAAGGACTATAAAACAATTTGAGGGCATGAAAAAACCTGATTTTTTGGTCCTCAATCGATAATACTTGGGTTTGACCTACTTTTATTAATCTTTCAAGGTCATAATAGGTCAAAATAGGTTCATCAAAAATTCAGAGGGACGGAGGATGACTCAGAAGGTGTCCTGTAATTAGATAAGCCCATAAAAACATTTAAGGGCTTAAAGAAACCTGATTTTTAGCGCCTATATCCATTATCCATCAGTTTGACATACTTTTCTTAATATTCGAAGGTCATGCGCGGTCAAAATAGTTTCATCGAAAATTCAGAGGGACGAAGGACAACTCAGAAGTACCCTGTGATTTAATAAGACAATAAAAACATTAAAGGGCATTAAAAAACCTGATTTTTTAGGCCTCAATCAATTGTACTTGGTTTTGACCTACTTTAATTAATTTTTCAAGGTCATACAAGGTCAAAATAGGTTCAATAAAAATTAAGATACTTGGTTTTGAACTACATTTATTAATTTTTGAAGGTCATACAACCTCAAAATAGGTTAAATAATAATTAATATAGACAGTAGATAACTTAAGAGAAACCCTATAATTGTAAAGAACTATGAAAGAATTATAGGGCATAGAGAAACCTGACTTTTAAGCCCAAAATCGATAATAATTCGGATTGACCTATTTTTTTCGATTTGTCAAGGTCTTACAAGGTCAGACTAGTTTCATCAAAAATTGAGAAGGACGAAGGATAACTCAGGAGGTACTCAGTGATTTTATAAGACCAGAAAAAAATTTGAGGGCATAAAGAAACCTGATTTTTTGGGCCTAAATGTATTATTAATCGGTTTGACATACTTTTCTTGATAATTCAAGGCCATGCCAGGTCAAAATAGGATTAATTAATATCGGAAGAGACGTAGAATGGTCTTAGGAGATACCCCGGAATTGTCAAGTACCATAAAGATATTTAATAGCATAAAGAAACCTGATTTTTTGGGCCTCAATTGATAATACATGGGTTTGACGTACTTTTGTTAATTTTTCAAGGTCATACAAGGTCAGAATAGGTTCATCAAAAATTTAGAGGGACAGAAGATGACTCAGAAGTTACCCTATAATTCCATGAGACCATAAAAACATTAAAAAGCATAGAAAAACCTGATTTTTTAGGCCTCAATCAATTGTACTTGGTTTTGAACTACCTTAATTAATTTTTCAAGGTTATACAAGGTCAAAATAGGTTTAATAAAAATTTAGAGGGTCAGTGATCGACTTATGGGGTACCTTTTGAGTTTTAAGGACCATAAAAAAATTTGAGGGCATGAAGAAACCTGATTTTTCGGGCCTAAATCATTTGTACTTGGGTTTCACCAACTTTTTTATATTTTTCAAATTCACACAAGGTCAAAACACGTTCAATGAATATCAAAAGGGATAGAAAATTACACAGGAGGTGCCCTGTAATTTTTTTCAGGCGCAATAAAAAAATTTTAAGGCATCACGAAACCTGATTTTTTGGGCCTCAATCAATTGTACTTCGATTTGACCTACTTTAATTAATTTTTCCAGGTCATACAAAGTCAAAATAGGTTCTCTAAAAATTCAGAGGGACGAAAAATAACTTAGGAGGTACCCTGTAATTTTATGAGACCAAAAAAAATTTAAGGGTATGAAAAAAACTGATTTTTTGTGCATAAATCAATTGTACTTTCGTTGACTTACTTGTATTTATTTTTCGAAGTCACAAAAGGTCAAAATACGTTCAACGAATAATAAGAAGGATGAAAAATGACACAGGAAGTGCCCTGTAATTTTTAAGGGGCCATAAAAAAATTTTAAGGCATCAAAAAACCCTGATTTTTTAGGCCTCAATCAATTGTACTTGGTTTTGACCTACCCTAATCAATTTTTTAAGGTCATACAAAGTAAAAATATGTTCAATAAATATCGAAAGGGACGTAAAATGGTTTCGGGAGGTACCCCGTAATTGTCAAGGACTATAAAAAAATTTAAGGGCATAAAGAAACCTAATTTTTTTGGCCTCAATCGATAATACTTGGGTTTTACCTACTTTTATTATTTTTTCAAGGTCATACAATGTCGGAGTAGGTTTTTAAAAAATTTCGAGTGACGGACGATGACTAAGGAGGTACCCAGTAATTTTATAAGACCCTAAAAAAATTTGAGGGCATAAAGACACCTGATTATTTGGGCCTAAATCTATTATCTTTCGGTTTGACATACTTTTATTTATATTTCAAGGTCATGCAAGTTCAGAATAGGTTTTATAAATTTCGAGAGGGACGGAGGAAGTCTTAGGAGGTACCTTGTAACTGCCAAGGACTATAAAAGATTTGAGGGCATAAAAAAAAAGGATTTTCCAAGCCTAAATAAATTTTACGTGAGTTTGACCTACGTTTTTATATTTTTCAAAGTCACACAAGGTCAAAATACATTCAATGAATATTATAAGGGGTGGAAAATGACACAGGAGATGCCCTGTAATTTAGAAGGACCCTAAAAAATTTTAAGGGCATTGTAACATGCAGCTTTTAGCGCTACCTGTTAAGACGTTTTTTTTTATTGTTGATAATTTTGATTTTTATTGAATTTAAAAATTTTTAAAAGAAAATTTAAATTGAGCGCTAGAGATAATTGTTGTCCATTGGTTGGATTCGCCGCGACCGAGTCGCCCTAGCGCGAGAAAATGCGACCGAAGCTCGATTGCGCGCGAAACAAAAATTTATTGGGATTAAGAATTTAATTTAGCAAATAATTTAGTTTTAAGTAATTGTAATTGTAAGAATGGTACTTATGACCGGTCACGAACCCGCGAAGAGAGACCAACGAGGATTACCGACGTGGATTCTCTACAAGATCATCGACGACGGGCGGATGGCTGTCTCGAGAACGAGCTGGAACGACGGACCTATAGGAACTCGAAGTGAGCAATCGACGCATGCGTGAAGGCGGAAAACTGGCTGTCGAGCGCGCCAATGCTCCAGCCAATGCATCACTCAAAACGTCGATATTGGGAAATTGGACTTGCGGCGCCATCTCTGGAATTCAAAGCTAACGACGGACCCAGTAAAGAGGGGAGAGACGAGGAATGCGACATGTGCTTAATTTTTCCTTCTTCCACGTTTTCGACTTGCCGCGTGCGGACACGTTTTGCTGTTCTGGAAAATTTGTTGGTTAATTTTTTTATATTATTGTCTGATTTTGAGATTTATTACAAAGAATATTTTTGGAATTTCTTGCGTTTGAAATCTGACGATTTCTTTTAATTAGCCACGACGTAGTGAGCTATACTTTGATTATTGTGTTAATATTTGCGCTTCGGTTTGCCGAAATTTAATTGAACAGCTCGACGACAATCGGCTGTGGCTGATTAATTTGTTAACTGTAAAGTTTACAAATTAAACAAAAATACGACGTGTTCTTGAGTGATCGCT